TTCGCCATTCTGTTTACGCACCAAAACGACCGGTGATGCATACAGCGGATGGAGTTTTGGCAACATTGTCTGGAAAGAAATTTTACACTACGTTAGACCTTATGTCTGGTTATTACCAGATTGAAGTAGAAGAAGATTCCAAACCGTTTACTGCATTCGTAACGCCCAGTGGACATTTTGAGTTTAACAGAATTCCATTTGGCAGCGGATGATGTCACAATTAATTGCACCTTTGAAGAGAGCAGTCGTTCGTTATGTAGACGAGGTTATTATAGCGACTGAGACCGAGGACGAAAACTTATTTTACTTGGAGGAATTTCTGAAAATTATTCAACAAGAGAGGTTAACATTAAGGCTATCGAAGTGCTCATTTTTGAGGAGAGAGGTTACTTTCTTAGGGCATCAGGTTGATGTTAGTGGCATTAGGCCGGGGAATTTGAAAACTTCAGCGATAGAGGCATATCCGACTCCGCATAATCAGTTAGAAGTTCGACGGTTCTTGGGATTGAGTGGGTTCTTCCGCAAGTTGGTTCCCGGATATGCTCAAATCGCTAAATCCCTTACCCAGCTAACGAAGAAGAGCGCACATTTTATATGGGATTCGGAGTGTGAAGAAGCGTTCCGACTATTAATTAAATTAATTATTAGAGCCCCAGTGCTTACAATTTATGATGTCACGAAAGAGCACGAACTTCATACCGACGCCTCGAGTGTAGGCATCGCAGCTATTCTGTTGCAAAATGAGGGAAACGATTTGAAGCCAGTAGCGTATTATAGCCGAACGTGTACACCGCAGGAGAAAAATTATCATGCGTACGAATTAGAAGTCCTTGCAGTTGTTGAAGCTTGTGAAAGGTTCAGAATGTTCTTACTGGGGAAATGTTTTACTATTGTTACGGATTGTCAGTCAATCACAACAGCGAAGATGTCGAAACCAATGGTACCAAGGGTAGCGCGTTGGCTTTTAAGACTTTTGGAGTATGACTGCAATATAGTGCACCGCTCCGGGTCTTCGATGAGTCATGTTGACGCCATGAGTCGTTCGCCAGTTGATGGGGCGAAACAAGTCGAAGATGTCGGTGCAAAAGTTTTAGCATTGTCAGCCAATGATTGGGTTTGCACCATGCAAAGGCAAGATGGCAAGCTGAACGAAATTATAAACATTTTACAGAGTAGTGATACTGGCGGCCAACGAAGCGATATCCGTTCAAATTATTGCCTGAAAAGCAATCGATTGTTTCGAAAAGTGGAGCATGGGCGGCAATTGCTAGTTGTTCCAAAGGGTATGCGATGGCGCATACTCAAGCTTTGCCATGATGATGTCGGGCATCCTGGTGTAGACGGAACTATAAAAAGAATAGGGCAAAATTTTTGGTTCCCACGGGTAAGGAATTTCGTCAAGGGTTTCATAAAATCTTGCATTGAGTGTTGCTACCACCGCGA